GGAGAGAAACTCTCAAGCTTTAATTCCCTTGAACAGGCAGTGAGCTTACAAAGCAATTATGGGCTTCTGTGGATTAGGATAAATAACCTCTCTGAACTACAGTGTTGTTACATACAAACCCAAAGTGTATCCTGCAGCAGTCTCTGCTTTGCTTTGGCCTAGCTTAAACGTGCCAAAGATTAACTCAATATATGACTTTCTCATCACCTTAGTGATAAGTAGACGTATTTATTAAATTTCCAAACAAGTAAAGCAGTGCTTGCTCTTCCTCACTGTTAAGGCACAAGGATGCTCAGTGGTGATGTTTTTTCTAGAGAGAGGGTGGTCCAAGGTGATATTGTTTTAACAGGATGTTATGTTCTGCTGAGCACCCAGAAGTAGCTGAACCTGTGTCTGGGGATGGTGGGAGACCAGCCATAGCAAAGCAAGAGAACATGAAGGATTCCTTTTCCCAACAAAATTTTGAAGGAATTTTAGGAAAACAAAATCCTGTCTCAGTATTTCCAGGAAGATGACAGGGTATGTGATTGATTCAAGGTCTGCGTGGATATCTTGGTGATGGGTGGGTATCCAGATGTCACCTCCTTGATTCCTCTTTACCCATGCATCTATCATGACATTGGTTTTGTTCCCTGACACAGAAATAGATGTGCCAGTATCCTCTTTCAGACTTCTGGAGGATCTCAGTGATAAAGTAAGAGGAAGAAGCAGATCCTGTGTTTCAGTAGTCTTCATGGCCTCCTGGCCTTAAAAAAGGAAACAGGAGAGTTAGAAAAGGTAGAAGATAGGGAACAACCAAGTGCTCCTTCACGAGCAGCTTTTTTCCCAGGATCAGGCTCCAGCTCATGGCTAGATCTGCAGTGGGTATGTGGGAATCCCGTTGTCAGACCAGGGTGCTTCATCTGAGCCCTCATCTAGTTACCATCATTAAAGAAACCACAACCTTTTATAAACGAGACATGACTTTGCCATTACTTTCTAGTTATGTTCCAAATGAGTAATCATATTTTAGACAGGTTGCACACTCTTCAGGGAGAGTTTTTGATCTATACTTAGGATACTCACTATTAATATCAGGGACCTTTGCTGAGGTAGGTGATAGCTCATTAACATTCTTCCTGGGACCTTCTATGTTTAGACGTTATGTTGATAATGCTGTCTTCTGGTACAAGTGCTCAGAAATAAAACTCTAACATAATCGGCAAATTAGCTGCAGAATAATAAGCTTCATTACAGCTAGCCAGATACTCCAGCCTTCTGCTTTTATCAATGAATTAAAAGCTCTTCATCTGCAGTTATTACTGTAACATGACACGGCAGCAATGCTGAACACTGAGAAGGCGATTTTGCTGCGATAAGCATGGTCCCCCACAGACTTTGTGGTTCTGTTGCATGCATCCCTAGCCATGGGTTTGTTCTCCATAATCAAAGATTTCATTTAAAAATAAAACTGCATTACATCCAGCGTGCCTGTAAAGGCAGCTTTTAAAATAGTCCTCCAGTGTAGGACAGCGTCAGGATGTCAGTCTGAGTCTGCAGGCAGACAGGAAATTATCAAGCCTAATTCAGTCACTGCAATCCTCCATGTATTTTGTACAGGGGACAATGAGAAAGTGATCAAGTCCCTGCACAAAGAGTAACCGTAATGGTTAATGTTTAGAAAACCCCTAATTTATCTTTGGACTTCAGGATTTCCCGGGGGCTCTTTGTGGAGTGTGGGGTCTTGCTGTTGCTGGTGTCCTTTTCTGTATTTGTCCTACATAAAGATTGTAACGTACAATCCTTCTCCTTTCTGAGACTTAGAGATCTTCATGCCAAAACTTTCTGTGATATATTTACCATGATGTTTGCTAGAATCAGATCTGTCCTTTTACAGTTGTTATGATTAAACCTATTTAGAATGGAAAACACCTTGAAAAAGTTTATTTTGTTTGCTTTGGTTTTGGTTTTGTTTTTTGTTTGTTTGTTTGGTTGGTTGGTTTGTTTTGTTTTTTTAATTAAAAGAAATCCCTACTGGTTTCAGCATAAGCTACCCCAGACTTATATCTACTGGGTACCTAACTGCAACTTTGCTCATCTTGAAGCAAGAAGTCTGCAGAAACTTCTACTACATTTCTCCTATAGGAGGTTCTCCTGCATTTCTCATGCTTGGGCAATGGTAGCAGTGATATAGCATTGTGCTGGCTCTTAAAGTTGGAAACTGCTGCAAGAAATGGGAGGAGAAGGTAAGCCCAGAAGAAGACAAGAGAGGGGCTTTATGTTGAGGCTGGACTTCAGTCACCTTCTCTCCACTGAAACTTTTCTCGTGTTAAAACCATAAATCGCTAAGTAGTGTAACAGCACATTAAGGAAGAGCATACAACACCTTTTTGCTGAGGAGGAATTTCACTTAAAAACCTCATTCTCCCACACTATGTCCAAGAAATCCAGTAACAATATTTCTGTTATTCTTTCCCCCCTTCTCTCTTAAACTCTTCTGAAAGTGTTCCTGCATGGTACAGAGGCTGAGACACTGGAAGCAGTCTGTGTTAGTTGAGTGTCTGCTGGCACAAATGAAGGGTTAAGATGAAGGTGCAGGTGCTCTACAAGCTGCATTACAGTTCCAGAAAAGTTAGATATACTTCTACATCATGAATTTAAAGCTATGAAAAAGTCACCCCTCCAATACCTAGAAAGTCCTTTTTCGGTTTTGGGAGTTTCTAGCCTTTAAGCTTCTTTCTGCGAGGATAAGTATATGCACTGAGTGCACCCTATGGAGTCAAGAACTCGGAAGATTTTTACAAAGACACTAAATCTTTTTTAAAATGAAAAACCTGAAAGCAATCGCAGCCCAAGTCTCAGTGGCTTTTGAATGCCCGAGACATGACGACACAGTTCAGTGTCTGGAAGATAATATCTGCCTTTTTTTTTTTTAAACTGAAAATTGTATTTTTGAAAGAAATGCTTTTGCTGATTTTATTTTGTGTGTGAGAAAAGCATCATATTCCAATGAAAAGGTTCAGCTGCTGTGCAAGAATGTTTAAAGAAAATAATTTTTTTTGAGTTGACATGACTTTTTTTGTGCATGTATTTTGAAATACTAGTACAAAATCAAATGCAATTTTTAATTCCTCCCCTTCCCATGGGAAAACAGTATTTTTCTAATAAAGCAATTATTTTTCCACTGGCTTTGGGGGTTTTGTTCATGAGAAAATGTATGGTGGTTTTGTTGTGTTTTGTTTTGTTTTAATCAGTTTTAATAATGATTAATACCTGACATCACATTTACCGGGTCTTTATTGGCATGTGCCACAGTTAGCACATATATTACATGTTGGCTCCAGAAATAACCAATCCAGTCCAGGTTACATTATCCTTTGCAGGTGCTGATGGAAGATAGGACAGGAAACGCTCTGCTCCTCGGACAACTCAGCTGCTCATTGCCAAGGAGCTGTTGCAGAAGGGGCCTGGCATTGCCAACTAGCCAAACTTCTCCTCAGATGAATCAGTAACGCTGCTGATATGCCAGTATTTGTGGGCTCCCAGGTTTTTGGTGGCCTTCCTGGTCACTGATAGCCATGCTGAATGGAGGCCAGCTATTTTCATCTGGGCCAGGGCAATAGTTTTTCAAGGGATGGTCCATCCAAGAGACAGTGGATATCTACTGTATTAACTCCTTCAAGGAATTTTTATCCAACTTGGAGCTGAGCGTTGGTTTGATTTCTGCTGCACATTCGTCTCTGTGTAAAGATGAGGCAGGACTATTTCTGAGCCAAGGAGAGGCCCATCATTGCAGGAGACAAGAGAACAAACATTCTCACAGTATAATCAATCTTATAGAGCAGATGGATACAGTAATTAGAGCAAAAACAATTTTGCCAAGAATATTAACATTTCAACAGTTTATCAGAAAGGGGGTGTTGACACCGGTCAATAATTTTCTGATTATTGCAAAAACATCTTAAGTTGTTGACTATTTTGTGCAAAATAGGACAGACTAATTTTGGCCTCCTGACCTTGTTTACAGCAGTGGGAAGTAGCATTGCCACCAAAATCTTTTTTAAAAAAACAAACAAACATGTGTTTTTCAATGATTTGAAGGTATTGTAGGCCATAAAGATGTATAGGGTTTCCAAAGAGCATATTTATTTATATTTTACTCAGTCTCATGATGCTCGGGTGCATGCTGCAAAAAATTAAACAACTGTTGTCAACAGTTAGCACAAGTCAAGCCTACCCATTCCTCCCCCTCTTCCCATACATGGATGAGATAAACATCATGCGTATGAACCCAAAAGAAAGAATAATGATAAAAAAGAAGTTAGAAGAATCCAAGTCCATCAAAGTTTAGAACACTCCCTTCACTGGGGAAGAAATAGCTTCTATTCATTTTTTTTTTCCTCTAAGTGAAAAATGGGCAAATCTTTGTAACACATGAGAGGAAATACTGGAACAAAATTAATATAGATGAGGGGTGGGAGATTTTACTGACATAACTGTGCATTTTAGTAATCTGCTTGTATTTTATTTCTTTTCCCTCTTCTCTTTATTGTTTCTTCCATATTTTCAGTATCAAGGCAGTCCTTCCTGTTCTCATGTTGTCTCCCCAGTGCTGTTCCTTACTTGCCTCTGATGCTATTTTCTCAGGACACTTTCAGTGGTGGGCCTTTAACACAGTGTCACACAGACCCAGTGGACTGGATCATTGCTCTGTGCTGAAGGACCCTCTCATCTGCCTGCTGGAAGGGATCCCTTCATGGGCTGTCAAGGTGCCTTGATATAACATTCGCTTACACAGCTGCATATGAACATTTGAGAAAAGTCAGCACAAATCCTCTGAAACAATTTCCTGACCCTACAGGCAACCCTATAGCTCACTACAGGGTATTGTGAAAGGACTGAGGGTGTGGATATGAATTCACTTTGTGTCTTGCTTTCCCTTAATGAATCACATGAGCTGGGCTCTGGCAGAACCCAGGAAGGAGAAATCAGCAGAGGGAGGGAATTTCCTTGAAGTTGGAAATGCCCTCCAGCCTACCTGCCAGACCCCAGTACTGAAGAAGTGGATAAGAGACCACATGTCCAGGCAGAAAACTGCAGTTAAAGGTACTTGTATGTAGCATATAACTTCTCACTAGTAGCAGTAACACTTTGCAGCTATAACATCATATCCCTAAACTATGGCAGTATGGATGATTTGATACTGATGATGAGTGCTTACAGCAAAACCAAGGAGGTGTGGGGTACTATGGCCTTAAATCAAATATTTTTATCCCCAGTCTCAGTGCTTGCTGAATATAAGGCAATTTCTACCATACCAAAGCAACAAAAAGACCCTTTCAAGTTTCGCTCGGTGGCCCATGACCTCTGTGAGGCCACAGAAGATTGAGAGCTCAAGTGGCTGACCCAACGTTTTGGCCACTCACTTTTTTTTTCTCCAAATACATTCTTATCCCTAGTTGAAGAGGTACTGTCAACTGGCCATGAATACGGCTTGTAAAGCGTGAAGGTTGGTATCGAATTGTTTGGTGGTCCTCAGTAGAATAATTATTTCTAACATGTGGCTCCTTTGCTTTTCTTCTTGCGTGTTTGCTCCTTTGCTTTTCTTCTTGATGTTATTCCAATGGGTTTGGTGAAGCCATGTCCCAAGGCAGCTAGTGAAGTTCAGGAAGCAGGTTTGAAAGAAGCTGCCATAGACCCATGCTCAGTAGACAAGTTGAAAGCCAGGAGCAGGAGGATCTCAGGTCCGAAGCTGCTTCAGGTTGTAGAAATATCTGCCCTAATGTCTCTTTACAAAAAGCTCAGATGTGAAAACTGGCAGGTGGGAAGAGCTTTCCTGTTGTGTTCTGTGCCTCTCACTCATTTACTGGCTGGGTGCAAGGTAAAAATAACTACTCTGGACTACATCACAACCATGCTGGGTGGGAGCTGGCTGTGGCATTTCATCTCCTTTCTTACAGCAGCAATGAGCTAAGCTTTTATATTACGATGTCTAGAAAACAGAGTAGTTTTCCCCTTGCCGTAGCAAAGTAGCCAGAGACTATTAGGAGAGTGGCTCAGCAGCTGCAGTAGAAAAGGGGCAGCTGCTACTCAGAGCTCTTGCAGCTGCTTCATGCTGGACCCTGTGGGTTAAAAGTCTGGGCTTAAAAGTCCTTATGAGAATAATTGTCCCATCTACTGGCTGTCTGGCAGTGGTTGTGATCAACAGCTGACATATTGATTAAGCAGGGGAGACAATGGGTAAGCAGATAGACTTATACATCCAAAACTAAGAGCAAGTGAAATTGAAGCTAAATCACTGGAAATCTGCCCCTTTGAATCTTTAAAGGTCATGAGTGTGGATCAAACATCAACTAGTGCAAGAAGTGGCAGGGGAATAAATGCCCTAAACGGCTTGAAGCAGCCTGAGTTTTGGCCTTCAAAGTTTGTGCAAGCATCTCCCAAAAGGAGGTGAAAAGGAAGAGGACAATCTGAAGCCAAGCCCTAGGGCAGATAGTGGCAGATGCTGCACACTGGAGCACTGCTCTGTGGGACACGATGCCAGCCTGAGGGTCTGCCTGCACAGGAATGATACATTGGATTAGGCTATTCACCCTGGCTTCAGGAATGAGCTGCATCAAATGTGAAATGCAATCACATTGCTTTGATTTGCTTTCCCACAGTGCTCTTTCTGTCCAGCAGTGTGCTTACGAGTGATGTCAGCCTCACATTATGTGGTGCCCTGGGGAGGTACCCCCAGCAGTGACCATCCCTCTGCCCATGGCTCTACAAAGTTGCAGAAAGCCCAGTGACAGCTGGAGGAGACACTGGATCGAAACAGTACATTCCTCTGATTCTTCTCCCAGCTATCCTGTAATGCATCCTAAAAACCTTGGGAGCAGTGTCTCATGAGGTGATGATGTAAGCATATACAACGTTTTTTGTTTTTTTTTTAATCCTTTGTGAACCTTTCCGGTGGGCTTTTGAAGTAGAGAAAGGAACAGGTCAGCTAAACCTGAATGATAGTGAGAGGTGCACAGGGAGGCTGAAAGAAAGGTGGTACCAAATTATAAAAAATGTCCCAGTTTTGCCAGCAAATGGGGTCAAGGGAGCCTTACTTTACTCTTGCTGCAGTTAGAGCGTAGTTGTGAACAGTATCTGCACTGGTATTATGGCAATGACCAAAATGATTTGGGTGGAAATTTTTATGCTGGTATGTGTGGGAGGGAATGTTTTGTAAATATGAGGTGACCTACTCCTCAATGAAATTATTCAGATCAGACGTTTTAAAATCTGGTTATGAACAACATATACAATAAAGTACACAAACTGCATTTAGCATACCTGACCAAGAAAACAGAACAAATTTCAGCCCAGTCAAATTTGTCTCACTTGTGACTATGGAAGACTCAAAGCAACTGACTGGATGCCATCACGGGGTTGCTGGTTGTCCAGGACAAGAGCAAAAAGCAATCCTTGGCCTGTTAAAAAGAAGGTCACAGCAACCCTTTGTTTTCACAATTTCTTTGAACTTTTTTTTTAAGCTATTTGCGTTTTTTGGTATGAGAGGTGTGTATAGCAGTGAGTTCAGCACTCTTTTACTGTTTTTTAATCCTACTGGTTGATAATTTCCAACACTTCCTGTGGCTGTGTTACAAAAAGTTTTGAATTTGCTTTCTGTATTCACCTTGTATGCATCACTTGTGATTTTGCAGGTATTTGCTGAAGAAGCAAGCTGCCACCACTTTTTTGCAACCCTTCTCTATTTAATCTTTCCACTGAAGCAACTACGTTTCTGTGTTCACTCTGTGCATTTTTGCAGGACATGCAGTATATGAACCACAAAGTAGTCCTGACTTGTTTTTTTCCTCGTTTTTTTCTCCTTCAAACTCATCTTGCAATTCTCCAGCCATCTCTAGGCATGACTGTCCCCAGTGAGTTTTTATCTAGATATTTTTTCTCACCTTTCCTCCTTTTTTGCCTTCTTCAGTCTCTCAGCTGATATTAAATCCTTATTACACTGGGGATATAGCATTTTGCATACTAACGCAATCCAACACAACATCTGTACTTAGTTCACAGTCCAAGCTGCCTGCTGATAATGATAAAGAATCATTTTTCCTTCACTTATGAGAGGACAGCCTACTTTACCTTTCCCTGCCCTGATTTGCTCCAAGGTAAGTTGTTTTCTAAATTGCTTTCCCCAGGTGAAAACACTGACTGCAGATGAAAGGCCATGATGGGAGAGTGAAGAAGAGTTAAGCTGTTTCAGGGCACCCTTTCGAGATTGGGCAAGATGGAACACAGCTGTGGGCAGTGCTGCTATTTATCAGGATAGTGGTCCTTAAATGTGGATGTGGAAGAGCAACAAGGTTTGTACTGCAAACACTGTTTATTTTATAATGCAACTAACAAAATAGAGTACCTTTTTTTTCTTTTCTTTTTTTTTTTTTTTTTTTTTTTTTTTTTTTTTTTTTTTTTTTTTTTTTTTTTTTTTTTTAACTCTGTTCTGGGAGAAAGTCCTCTGCAAATTTAGCAGGATTGTGTATGAACTTTTCTGGCTCCAACAATTTCAAATCATTGCAACTGATGTTCTGAGATGACTATAGCAGTATCAAATCTCTCTCTGAAGCCTCTTGGGGCAACTTATGTGCTTCAAAATTTCCGAAATATGTGTGCTTTATACAACTCTGCACCCACAAAGGTCACGTTTTTTTCTGCTCTCTTACACTATGATAAACATCTGATCCATAGAATACCTTTTTTTTTTTTTTTTTCCAACTCCCATGGCACATCTGGTCTGAGGAGAAGCAGGACTGGAGGAGACAGCTCCGAAAAGTAGGTTTGAGGCTGCAGACTGCTTCTGGTTAGATGTGATCCTGGAAGAAATTGAGAGGGTTTACAGCCTGGATGCTACTTTAGGCCATTTTGTATGTAAGCAAGTAACCTAGAAAGACTGTCCCAACTGCATCTTCCATGGTAACATGTCAGCAGCTAATGAAAAGAATCCTGAATGTCTTATACACAGGGACAGTATGAGAGGACAAACTGATAGAGGACCTCTTTTGCCATGGACGACTGAGGCTTTTGTGTTGCCCTTGATACTGCTTGCCAAGGCAAATCCCACAACTGGAGATGATTGTTCATTTTAGGTCAAGAACATTTTCCGTGGAGTCTTGGCAGTAGCCTGTAGTAGTTTAAGTATTGCTGTAGCACAGCTTGCAAAAAGAGCTTACTCCCCCCTGTAAGGGTAGCTATTGTGACCTTAGTGATTCTCCTGTCTTTATCTGGCACTTCCCTCTTTCCTTTTCTTTCTCCCCTCTGCCATGCGTGTCCCCTTGCCCCCTCTACTCCATCAGCTCAGGAACAACCTGGCTCCTGATGAGTTTGCTCCAGTTATCACTTTCTTTCCCATGCAAGTGGGTTATTCTGGCAACTCTGCAAGGATCACAGCATAAATGGTGATGACAAAGGGTATTAAAGGTATTAAACTGTGGCACATATACCTGAGTGCTGGCATGTAACCAGGAGAGATGGCATTTGGGCGAGATGACCTGGAGCTGGAAGAGCGCTCAGGTCAGGTCAGAGCGAAACAATAGTGTGAGATAGTGGGAGGGCTGCCAGCAGCAGAGTGGGCGGGAGGGCTCCTGTATGAACCTGAAAGCAAACAAACTCACTGCCAAGTAGCGCTACTCCTGCTCCAAGGAGGATCACTTATTGCAGTTTGAATTATTAGCTCATTTGTTGTAGTAAAAGACTGTGTGGACGCAAGGCACTGTGAGGAGACCGACCTAAATTACCTCTGTGTGCAAAAAAAGGCCTGGGAGTGTATTTATATCCCTGCTTTGCTATGGGGCTGTTATTCAAAGCACAATATAAATCATTATGTAAAAATCAAAATACCTTTGGTCTCTGCAATGTACCTGACTTCAAAGCACAAGTTCAATAAGCCAAGCAGAATTGGTAATACTTGATGTTCAAGTAGAGCCTCTATAATATCTAATTTATACTGCTCTTAACATATGGGGCATTTGCTTTGGCAAATGAACTTAGTAATATGTGGTGCTTTCCTAGCACAAAAACAAAGTACTAACTTAGCAATTCATTGCAACACAATCACTGGTTTGGAGGAACTTCCCCCTCTTTCTCCATTTGCTGCACCTTCTAAACTTTAAGAAAGAATAATTTATTATGTGGAGTTTTTGCTGTGTCATCTGACCAACTTAAGGTAGCTATACCAAACACAAATCTAAACCCCTGTAGTGCAGCGAGTCTTTATAATGATAAGCAACTTCTGTATGTGTGACTGGGGCTTGAGACTGTCTCCAAGCCATGGACTTCTTGGAATCTGGGGCCTCTTTGGGTTTCTTGCAGGGCTGAAAAACACACACTGGGGACTCTAGCACATACATATAAATCTTGTCAGTTAAATATAGATTAATGGGAATCATCAGGGAGTAAAAATACTCTACTCCTTATGATAAACACCATAAAACATGGTAAATACTTAACGTCAGTTTTATAGCAAAAACTAAGTCCTGCCATCCCCTCCCAGCACTTGGTTCCCTCATTTTTAGGCATTTGGCTTTCTTTGCAACTTAAATTCTATTCTTAGTAGGTTATATTCATTCCCCATACTAAGTATATACAAAACACTCATTTTACATACGCTCAGTGAAGTCCTACTCAGTGAATTTGCCAACCTATAGTGTTTTGATGTCTCAATTTGTGTTTTTCACTACCGATGTCCAGTCTGATTTTTTAACCTTTTCAGAAATGGAAAGTTGTGGTTGTGGGTTTTGGTTTTGTGTTTTTGGTTGGTTTCTTTTTTTTTTTTTTTTTTTTTTTTTTTTTTTTTTTTTTTTTTTTTTTTTTTTTTTTTTTTTTTTTTTTTTTTTTTTTTTTTTTTTTTTTTTTTTTTTTTTTTTTTTTTTTTTTTTTTTTTTTTTTTTTTGGTAGTTTTTTTGTTTTGGTTTGGTTGGGCTTTTTGTGGTTTTTTTTGGTAGGATTCCACCAGTGAGAAAAAGGAACAGAGGAGGGCATAAGGTAGGTAGGTAGTCTAAGTCCATGAGTCAAGGTGACATATGCTTGTCATAGCTTAACTCCTAACAGTATAAATGTCTTGCATTCACATAAAGCTGGAATCCTTAATACCCATTATCACCTTTGACAACACTGCTAAGGATTTAACAAAAAACCTTCTGGTCACTTAGGCCAAGTTAAAAGACTGTACTCGCAGCCCATCCACCGGGACACAAAAAGGCAACGATTCAAACCCCTGTGCAGGTAATGTGCAACTACAGAGGCTGAACTACTTGGAAGATAACCTCAGCTACGCTAGGAGAAAGAAAAATGAAGATAATAGAAACGAAACAGCTATAATAACCATCTGCAAGCACACATGGCCTCTACTTCAGCACCCATAAAACTTAAAAGGATAAAAAAAAGGAAATTGCTTGCAAAATAGAAAAGACAATTTTATAAACATTTCTTCTTATACTTTTGTAGGGTTGCCCTGTTTCTGGTATTAGGAGTACTGTGTGTATTAGCATTTAGTGTGGAGAGAGTGATATTTCAGGAAAGTCTTTCCTTCACTTTCCCTCCTACCCTGCATATGCACACATTGCTTGTTTAAAAGTGTACCCAAGGATGCCACTGGTATTGCCCTGCACATCAGATCAGCTTTCACTGCCTGGGCTACGTATCATCCTGCCCCTCAGCTGTGACCAGGGATCTGTCCCAGCTCCGAGCGGCTGCATGGCTGTACAAACCAATGATCCCATTTGAAATGAGGGAAGAAATACAATGCTGATCACAGTGACTGCTGTGGACTAGGAATTAATTTTGCCCTTTTCCAACCAGCATAGCTTTGGGCTACTACAAGTCCCTTAAGTGACGGTATAGTTTGTCTTTTTATTGGAATGCAATGCCAAATTACTCGTATGTGTCCCTCATAAGGCTTCTTTCCCTCCCACAGTGGTATTAAGGCTCTTTTCTTTTAACTGGACTGGTTCCCAAGCCCAAATCATGGTGCAGCTCCACCACAGTCCTGGGAGCAGCCAAGAGGTGCCGCAGCTGGGAGCTGCTCAATGGACCCAAAAGAGCGCTGAGACAAAGGACAACATGCATCAGTTTTAAATGGAAACCTGCTTTGTTGCCTAATATGGATATTCCTAAAGAAGTTAATGGAACTAAGCAAAGAAATTTGCTGCAGCCTAATAGTCATTTGTGTCTTTGAAACTCATGTTGAGTTTTGCAAACTTTCAGTAATTTCAGAAGAACTGAGCTGAACTCCAGTCCCAAGTCACACAGGCTATAAGCTGTTTCTCTCCTATGAGAAGTGTGTACTTCACAACTTTCAGCCGCAGACTGCTCTTCAGCCTAGACATGAGCCTTGCATAAATTCAGAGGTCACCAATTATTATGACTTTATCAAGAACCTTATTAATGATCATTAAAAATAATCTTGCTTAGAAGGGGACTGTATGGGCAAAGCCCATCTTTACTATTTACTTTATGGCTATTAATGTTTTTTTTTAATGTTTATACATTAGTGCAAGGAACAGTGTTAGCATAATTCTAGTGTAAAATAAAACCAGCTGTATCCATTATAAGTGCATTACTGCCAGGAACTGTAAATATGTTTATGCCTGATAGCCTTCTGACTCAATAATATCCTGCTATCTCTGTTGGGCAGGCAAGTTTTTAAACCAAGAAAAGACAGGTTATGATTTTCATAACCAAACTAGGTTTCTTTTTGAAGTATGTTATCTAAATTCAAATTTTAAGAAGGTCATTAAAAAAATCTGCCTGTGATTTTAAAGGAGAACAATTGAAATGTCATCTTCAAAGTGGTGGCAAGAAAGTATGATGTGCACTAGGAACAGGTTATTCCTCCCAGATATACACATACGCAGACAAACCCTGCCATATCATACCATACAAACAATTTTAATTGTGTAGTTACAGTCAATAACCACTCCTAGTCAGAACATTTCTGCATAAAGAAAATTGTGATACACTTATAAAAACAGCCAGCTGTAACAAAATAACTGGTGTTTTCATAGCAATAAACTCATAAAAAAGAAATACACCTTTATACAGAAAATTTATACAGCTGTAGCTTTAAAATTGATTGTAAACCAAAGGAAGACACATTGCAAACATCAATTATTTTCACATTAATTGCATAAGTTTCTAAGGTGATCTATTAGTTTTATTTACCTAAGCTTATTTGCATGATAGTAAAAATTGCATACAACAATAAGAGTGAAGCTTATAGTATGAATTGCTTGGATAACATAGAGCACTTTTTATAGGCAACTGTGTAAAGCACATTTTCTCTATTTAAAACTTTTAAGACACTTTGTTTTACTGCCCATCAAAATACATTTATAAATAGAAAAAAAAAATCAGTATGATAACAAGAGAAGCAATATTACATTTAACGGAAACTTCCAAAAAAATTAATTACAACATGATGCTGCAGGATCTACAAATAAATAATGAGGACTAAATTGTGTTTCACATTTTCTTTTTCATTTTCTTTAAAACCATGTAACAATGAGTATGGAAAAAAAAAATACAGTGACCTTTATTTCCAAAAGAAAACAAATCTGAATTACGGCAGTGCCATATAATACAAGGCATTTGTTGGCATATGTTATCTTTAAACTGCATTCCACAGTCTATAGTTCTTTTGTAACATACAATAGAACAAGAGTAACAAACTCTTTTTATTTTATTTTTTTAAATAAATGTGAGTTTCCAAAGATCAAGTGTGGAGTGCTACAGTAATAATTAAAAAACAAGAACAAAACAGAAACAAAAAACCAGTAAATCACAAAAGTTGTAATGCTTGTCTGAAGGCTCCAGAATCAAAATCACTGGTATCATGCTTATTGGGTACACTCACAGTGTATCCAGTGAACACAAATAATTATCAAACAATCCTCAACGCTTCATCTGTTGCTGCGAAGCAGTTTGTAAAACAGAGTAAAACATCTAGTGCAGTCTGCATTATCCTTTTTTCAACTTTTGTGCAAGTTTTGGAAGATTCATTGGCCAAACAATGAATAATAAAGGTTTTTGACAGAACGCAAGATGGAATTTTCATTTCATTAGTAAATACCAGTGGCACTGTTGAAAGAAAATAATACTTTTAGATCAGTCTTTCAATTCAGCATTAATCTCTGTGTTCCCTTCTACTGATAACTCTTCTTCTAGTTTAACTGAAAAAAGCGTGTTTGCATTTTTGTCTTGGATGCTGTCTTCCAAATCCTTGAGCAGCTCTTCTTCCTTGTATTCTGCAACATCCACCTCCAAACCAGAATTGTCCTTCAGCTTCCCATGGTGCTTGAGATAGTATCGCTGGTTCTGAAAGAACTTGATAATGGTGTACTTGGGCAGGTCAAGCTGAGCGGAGAGAGTCTGGATTGCTTCTTCATCTGGATACAGGCCTACATCTTGTATGAAACTCTGTAGGATCCCTAGGGCCTCAACAGAAATCTTTGTTCGCGGTCGGGGTTTCTGACGATTTTCATCCTCAGATTCAGCTGGTGATGCTACTGTCGGTTGCCTTGGGGGTAGTCTGGGACCTGGTTGTTGTTGCTGTTGCTGCTGCTGTTGTTGCTGTTGCTGCTGCTGCTGCTGCTGCAAGACAAAGAACAGCATTTTTTTTGTACATGAATTGTTGCTCATATTTTGTTACCAAGAAAATCCCAGGGGTGTGTGGGGGGGGAAATTGCAAAGCTATAAAGAAAGGCTTAGTAAGTTTAAAGAACAAAAAGGAAGGGAATAAAAAAAAAAAGAAAGAATGAAAAGAACATCCTAGCTTTGTCTGACTGAAAGCACTGATGATACAACATCGGTGTGGTTTAGCCGACAAATTTTAATGAACATGCTTCATGAGTCAAGTGCAGACAAGACAAAATGCTAAGTAGGTGACATGGTATAGGATTAACTTGACCAGCTTATCCAGAACTGTAGCAAGGGCAAAGTGAGAAAAGTGCCAGATGAGGGCAAACATGCTAGAGCTCTGCCAGCAACAGCAGCTGCTGCCCAAAAACAAGGGCTGCAAATCTCTAGCAATAGCTAGATGAAGGGACAGGGGAATCAGGGAGAAGGAGAGCATTTTAGCTAAGTATGGAAATATCTCACTGTTGATATGACCTCAGCACGCACTGAAGTCTCATCAAACTTGCAAACATTACAACAGAATGCGTTGGCTGGGAGCGCCTAACGTCACCCTGTCAAACCCAGCCTTGGCAAGGACAAAGAGACCTGGAGGTAGGAAATCTCTATTTCCCCTTCTGGCTCTGACCTCTCTTGCCTGTGGTCTTGGAGCGGGTCTGTACTACCTGTATCCCAAAGTATAAGCAGGGAACAGACCTATTTACCTGCCTCTGTGTTTGTGCTGGGGATTATTTAGTTAATATTTATAAAGCACTAAGATGCAAAGCTCTAAATAAGTTGCACTATTATTATTAGAAGGGAACATGCTGCATTCCAAAACTCAGGCAATAAAAATGAGTCAGTATGCACATCAGAAGAATAAGATAAAGGAAATTATGATGTAAATAATTAACAAGAGCTTAAAATGAAATTTTGCAAGCATGGATTCAGAAACATTCTTAAAAGGTGAAGCACTGAGCCCTAGGGACAGAAATGTTTTTCTCATCTACCACCAGAGTACAGTACACTATAAGATCACGTTTAAAATCAAAAGTAAATTTATCAGCTACTGTTTGTGTTGACAGTTCTTTTGCTGCACAGCACAGGAAGCACTGGTTAGTAAGATATTTTGGATCAGCAAATTTCTTGTCATATGGTACAAACCACCAGTTATTATTAAAAAACAACTGCAGCAAAACAAGCAGTTGCTATCACTAAATTTCATTTCCCTTTGCGCGTCTCCCCTCGACAATTTTCTGTGTGTTGGTAGCAGTTTCCAAGCTCCCAGTTGCAGCTCTTTGAGACATTAAGAAGCACAAAATGCTGCACAAATGGTACAAATACTGGAAGGACAATTCTGTCCACT